TGATAATGATAATAATGAATAACAATTATGATAATAATAATATTTATCATAATGATGATAATACCAATAGAAATAATAATGAAAATCATAATAATGATATTATGATAATAAAAAATATAATGACTACTAATGATAATAACGATGGTGTTATTATTATTATTACTATTTTCAAAACAATAATAATGATAACAATGAAGAAATAATATTAATGATAATGATAATGCAAATTATAGTAACAATAAGAAAAATAATAGTAATGATGAGAACAAGAATAAGAGTAATAATGACAACATTAATCATAATAATAATGATTACAATAATGTTAATATTAATGGTATTAATGAAAGTAGAAATTATGATAATGAAAAAATAAGATTCGTGATAATAGCAATGATGATAATATCGATAATAATAACAATAACAATCATTTATATCATAAAATATAATAATAACAATTATAATGATAGCAATAATAATAATGATAGTAATAATTATAATGAAAAAGTAAAAACAATAATAATAAAAATGATAATGATAACGACACCGGTAATAAAAACAATAATGAGAATAATAACAATAATAGCAAGAGCAATGATAATGATATAACAAAAAAAAAATAATAACAGTAATAATAATGATAATGATAATAACACTGATAAGGATAATAACAATGAAATTATGAAAATTATATTAATAATAATTGTAATTATAATCATTATTATTGTTATTATTATCATTTTTATTATTATCATCATAACAATATATCAGTAATAACAATAGCAATAATAACAATGATATCACTGAAGATAAGATATAAAAAAATCATTATTCTAATAATAAAACAAATTACAATACTATTATTAGTAATAGATATGACAATAGAAATGGCAATTATAATAATATGAACAATCTTTATTATCATTTATAATTTTCTTATGTTCCATCAGTCCGTTCACCCGTTGTGTTATGCATACACATACAAGGTCTATATATCTTAAAATTATAATGATGATGATTATGATGTTAATGATAATAGTAATATTGATGAGGATCATAAAATGATAATGACAGTAATGGCAATGATAATTATCATAATTGTTACTGTTATTATCATAATTATTATCATTGTCACTGTAATTGCTTTTGTTGTTGATGTTGCTGCTGCTATTATGATCATTATAATTATCGTATATTATATTCAATATCAGTGTTGTTGTTGTTGTTATTATTACCACCATCATCATCATCATTATTATTATCATCATTATCATTATTAATATTACTATCAACTTTTTATTATCATAGATATCATCTTATTATTATCTTTATTATCATCATCATTGTCGTAATTATTATTATGATAATGATGATGATAATGATCATCATGAAATACTAATAATATCATCAGCCACACCGATATGTTACATCCGTATCTTTCAATAAATCCTTGAAACTCCAAAGAACGTGATTCACTGCGCTTTTCTATTTTGCTTACCCGTCTGGCGGCGCTTTAGGAAATGCCACGCAAACCTAACAGAAGGAGCGGATGTCCAATCAAGGCGAAATATATGCTGTAATCCAAGCCGTCCCATAATAAATTAATGCCAAGATCACGGTTATATCTGTCATGGCTGTCACCTTTTGACAAGTAAGAGTATGCATATTAATTTCCATGTCATGTTGGTATCTTTTAAGATGACTATGTAACGACACATAATGCAATTTCTTTAAATCTAACATTTCCCTTGTAACGCACAAAACAAGTAGTCTAGAGAATAATAAAAAAAATAAAAAAACCTACATCACACCATGCGGCTGTCTTCAAACCTTCTACCCCAAGCTCTCTCTCTCTCTCTCCCTCCCTCCCTCCCTCTCTCCCTCCCNACAATGTTTCGTAAATAGTAGTATACTCAATAACAATTTGTATACACATACCTGTAGGATATAACCAGAAAGGGCGAGAGAACATGAAAGAGGAAGAGAGAATTGATTGAGTAACACTTATTTTTTATTTTATTATTATTATTATTATTTGTTATAAGTTAACACACACGAAAGACGAGAAAACAATTGTTGCAAATATCGAAATATCGTACTGGTAATTCTGCTCGAATTCCCGGATGTTACTGAACCAAAAACTCAACGGGATTTAGTTTTTTGTCTTATATATGGAAGAATAGTAGTATTTTGTATGGTTAATCTGTTAAGCACAATAGTACGAGTGTGCGTATGTGTGTATTGTATACGTGTTTTTATGTATGATCTACTATTTGACACATGATTCTAGGCCTAATATTTCTTTTCCTTTTCTTTCATATTTTTGCTGTTACATGTGTGCAGTCCCGTCTATATATATATACCATGTCCTTCGATTGTAATTATAGGTATTTGGGCTATTTGTCTATTACTCTTTAAAGTTTCATCTGTTTATACATTACTCTGTCCTAAATCCTCTATTTGGCATCTAGTGACTGTTATACTGTATAAAGTATGTAGTGAC